CTCCTGGTTCCAAAGCACAGGACTTATTACTCAGAGCACAGCAAGCAGCACAAACCTCGTATTTCGGTTGGTTCCCCTTGCCCTTCCCCACTTCCCTAAAATCCACGGGACAATATGGAGGTGTGCAGATACATGCCACCCACGCAGAGGTTCTGCCTCACAGCTGTACACCATTGAGTTTCAGAAACCTAACTTTGCCTGGTGGAACACATTCGCTTTATTACTCTAGACAGTAAATAAACCTCCCCTTTGACCCATTGGGGACATTATCTCTGTCTTCCAAGGCCCTTGGTGATACAGACACCCTTGAAGAGATAGCCTGGAACAGAAGCTGTCAGTGCCTCTGGTACAAGCCTGCAGAAATGTGAGAGATCTATGGGAATTATCTCCCAACACCTAGCAGTCCAAATACAGGTTACAAATACAGCATCAATCTTTCTTTGGCACAATCTGAGATGAATCACGGGAGATAAAGGCATAGTAAATGAGTGGCAAGTTATGTACAATACAATTAACAACCCTTCTAACCTCATTTCTGTATGATCCCCTCCTCCCTCCTCCCTCCACCCCCACACTTCTGGTTTATGGAACTACTCGTGGTTTTCTGCCTTATTCTGTCACCCTTCCCCTTCTTATTCTGTATATCTGGGTAACATTAGTTTAAATTAACTTTACAGTAGCTCCCCACTTATCCATGGTTTTGCTTTCCACTATTCATTTACTTGCACTCAACCACAGTCTGAAAATATTAAATAGAAAATTCCAGAAATAAACAATTCGTAAGTTTTAAATTTCGTATGGTTTGAGTAGCGCAATGTGACATCACGCTGTCCTGGGATGTGAATCATCCCTTCGTCCAGTCTGTCCCACCAATTAGTCTCTTAGGGGCTGGCTTGCTTTTCAGACCAATTGTCAGAGTATCACACTGCTTGTGTTCAAGTAATCCTTATTTTATTTAATAATGGACCCAAAGCACAAAAAAATGCTTGCTTTAAATGAAAAGGTGAAATTTCTCAATAAGGAAAGGGAAAAAATCATTTGCTGGGATTGTTAACATCTGTGGTAAGAACAAATCGTCTATCTGTGACATTTTGAAGAAGGAAGCTGCAAGAGTTAAGGCCATGGTATGCGGTAAGCGCTTAGTTAAGTTGAAACAGGCATTAAGTTTGTACAAGAAGATATTTTGAGAGAGAGAGACCATATTCACATAACTTTTATTACAGTATATTGTTTTAATTGTTCTATTTTATTAATAGTTATTTTTATTCTCTTACTATGCCTAATTTATAAATTAAACTTTATCATGGGTATGTATGTGTCAGGGAGGAAGAAATTTTCTTTTACCCTCCCAGGCTCTTCTGGCTGATCTAAGAATTAAATTGACATGAGACAGAGTAATAGGAGAAAAGAAGTTAATAATGTGTATACGTGGGAGAGACCCAGGAAAATGAGAAACTTGCCAGAATGGCTGAAGCCCTCACTATAAATACCATCTTCAGCTAAAGACTAAAGAGGATGTTTGGGGTAGAGGTTTTGAAGGAGTATAAAGCAAATGAACAAACTGACTTCCCTGATGCAAACTGTTTGCTGATTCATTCTTTACTGAGAAATAACTTTAACCCACAGGCTATGCCCCAGGAAGGAGATAACAGGCTGCTAATTTCAGAAGAATGGGCAGACCCTCCAGAGTTCCTCCTGAAGATTCACTGAGGTTAAGAGGAATGTAGCACCCTGTAAAATGCTGATTGTTCTCACCTTTCCTGTTCCATCCAGGGTGATTATTTAGTCCCTCTTTGGAATGGGAGGGGGCCTGCCCTAGGCCTGACCAGGAACTCAGTGCTCTCAAGTGCATCTTAATTCCATTGTCTTCTCCGACTTCCAACCCTTGCCCCAGGAAGGGCTCCCTCTGGGAGCTCCAGGGAGAAATCTATAGCTTTTGTCTCTTGCTTTCAGCGTACTTTTCGCATCAGAACTTTTTTTCCCCTGATGAAAAAGGAATTTTTTGGCTCATTGATTCTGCATATCATTAAAAAAAAATCTCATTTGCTCTCCTCCTCTACTTATTGTTGGTCATTATTTTTAAGATTAGAATGAACAAAACCCCCAATACATATATCTAATCTCTTGGTTAAGGCAGCAAAGATAGGACCAGTCATGATGCGGAAATATAAACAGAAATCTTGCAGCCTAATTACCTTTCAGATTTCTAGATAACCAAGATTCCTCATTAGGATAACATAAATCTCTCCTTTTACCAATTGTTTATATTCTTTAAAAATTGTCCTTTTATAAGCTTTAGGAAGAGATAATTCATTACCCATGATATGGGTAACAAAATGCATTGGTTTGTTTTGTAATGTTGCTCATTTGTTTCAGAAGTCATTGAGAACATTATTCTGGGAAGATTTTTTCAGTTAGGGCAGGTATGTCAGAACAGATAGAGTATTTTTGATCTTATTTTCCTGAGGCATTATGGCCTACTCTAAAAGAAATATTGAAGGGTCTTCTCTAAATAGAAGTGAGAATCTATAGGAAAGAGAAAAATCACGACAGGAAAGGCAAATATATAGTAGCATTGACGATCACTTAAATAAACCAGTATGCAGATTAAAAAATAATAAAAGATTGTTAAGATTATCCATTCTCTATAACACAAAAGTGAAATCATAAGCGTATTTGTCTTTCTTCCCTGTGATTTGATGACTATCTTTAGTGTTATGTTTGGATTCCTCTCTTTTTTTTGTGCATGTATCTATTACAGAGTTTTGGGTTTGTGGTTACCATGCTTATATATGGCAATGTTTATGTGTGACTAGTTTAAGTTGCTGATCTCTTAAGTTCAAATGCATTTTTAACAACCCTGCATTTTCACTCCACTCCCCATGTTTACTTTTTTTGATACCGTATTTCATATCTTTTTGTTTTGTGTATTTATTGCACATATAGAAGGGTTTACTACTTTTGTCTTTTGACCTTCTTTTATATGTAGTTGATTTACTACCTTTACTGTATATTTGCTTTCACCGAGCTTTTTCCTCTCGTAGCTTCCATGTTTCTAGTGGTGGCCTTTTCTTTTTCACTTAAGTCAGTCCCTTTAGCATTTCTTATAAAGCTGGCTTGGTGGTGCTGAACTTTTCTAGCTTTTCCTTGTCTGTAAAACTTTTGATCTCTCCATCAAATCTGAATCAGATCCTTGCCGGCCTGAGTACTCTTGGCTGTAGGTTTTTAATATATCATGCCAGTTTCTTCTGGCCTGCAGAGTCTGTGCTGAAAAGTCAGGTGATAGCCTTAAGGGAGTTTCTGTGTACATAACTTGATTTTTCCTTGCTGCTTTTCATATTCTCTTTAATTTTTGCCATTTTAATTACAATGTGTCTTGGTGTCCTCTTTAGGTTGATCCTGTTTGGGACTCTGTCTAGACCTACATGTCTGTTTCCATTCTCAGGTTAGGGAAGTTTTCAGCTATTATGTCTTCAGATATGATTTCTCCCTCTCTCTTCTTCTGGGAACACTGGAGTGTACTTGATGTTGTCCTAGAGGTCTCTTAAACTGTCTTCATTGATTTTTATTCAGTTTTCTTTTTTCTGTTCATCTTCAGTGATTCCTACCACTCTGACTTCGGCTGGCTGATTCATTCCTCTGTATCATTTAATCTGCTGATTCTTTCCAGTGTCTTTTTCATTTCATCTGTTTGAGTTCTTTATATTTTCTAACTTGGTTAACAACTTCTAACTTCTCATTCTGTTCATCCAGTCTTCTCCTGAGTTCTCTGGATACCTCCTTTTTTGGAATATATTCCTCTGTCATCTTATTTTGCCTAATTTTCTGTTTTTATTTCTATGTATTTGGTAGATTGGTTACACTTCCTGACCACGGAGAAGATGTCCTATGTGCCCTGATAGCTCACTCCTCTCCGGTCATCAGAGCTATATGCTCCAGGAGAACCCCTATGTGGGCTGTGTGGGTCCTCCTGTTGTGGCCGGCTGAGTACTGTGGGAGGTCTGGTAGGTGTGGTTGCCTTTGCTCTGGCTGGTTGCCACGCCCTGCCTTGTGCAGAAGCTGCCAGGTACTAGTTAGCAAGGCCAAATCATGAGGTGCTGGCTGCAGAGTCCCTGGGGTCCCAGGGCTGGTGCTGGCCCACTGGTGGGCGGAGCCAGGCTCTGGGATGGGTGGTTGGGGGGCTGGGGTCACTGAGTCTAGTGTTAGATTGCTGGTAGGTGGAGCTGTGTCTCTTCCCAGCTAGTGTTTTGGCCTGAGGCATCCCAGTACTCGTGGGCAGGGCCAGGTCCCAGCGCTAATAAACTTGAGGAAAGATTCCAAAATGGCACTTGCCAGCGCCATTGTCCACATGGTAGAATGAGTTTCCCCAGATTTGCTGCTGCTAGTGTCTATGTCCCCAGGGTGAGTTCCAGTTGCCTCCTGCCTCTGTAGGAGGCTCTCCAAGATCTGTTGGTGGGACTGATCCAGGCTCCTTTCAAATGACTGCTTCTGCCCTGGGTCCTAGAGTGTATGAGATTTTGTGTGTGCCCTTTAAGAGTGGAGTTTCTATTTCCCATAGCCCTCTGGGTCTCCAGAAAGCCAAATGTTCTGGGGGCTCATCTTCTTGGTGTAGGACCCCCGGGCTGGGGAGATCAATGTGGGGCTCAGACCCCTCACTTCTTGAGAAGAACCTCTACAATTGTAATTAACCTCCTGTTTATCAATCACTTGCTTGGGGCGGGTATGGGTCTTGCCTCTACCATGTCTCTGCCCCTCCTACTCACCTCATTTCGTTGTTGTTCCTTCCTCGTAACTTTAGTTGTAGACGATCTTCTCTGCAAGTCTTCCCATCTTTCTCACCAATAATGCTCTGTAAACAGTTGTAATTTTGTGTGCTTGTGCAAGGAGGCAAGCTCAGAGTCTGCCTGCTCTGCCATCTTGGCCACTCCTCTGTGACCTTCACCATGCACTTACATTTTAAATGAAGCTATTTACTTTTAAACATGTGGCAAAACTCAGACTGGAACATAAAATCAATTTATTAACTAAACTTAGGGTTTGGTATTTAATGGTGATTGTACAAACCATTGGCTTCACAGATCAAAATATAAGATCAATACAAAAGACTTGTACATTTTTTCTCTTAAAAATAAATAATTCAAAGTACTAAAAGTTGAATTTTTCAAACCCAGAAAAGAGAAGATTTATGGTAGTATAGGAAACTAGACACTCTCCTTTTACTGGATAAATCCTGTGGAAAGTCAAACAGATGGTGAAGGATCAAACTTTAACCTATTCCAGGCCATCACAGTAGCACTTATTTCTTACCAGTGGAAGCCACACTTGCCAGAAGAAATGGTTTCAGTTCACATGATGGTTCTATTTAAAGGGGCAAGGTAAGAAGCGGTGGTGTTTCACAATCTCCTGCAAGGGCTCCATTAATTAAGCAGCAGTGCAAGATGGAATCAGAGCCCACGATTTCAGGATCCAAGCCCAGTTGTACTTCTAAGAGAAATACTTCTCTAAAATTATACTCTTCTATATCCCTATGCAATAGCTTGAACATTTATTTTTCTCAAATGCTGCGCCCTGCAGTTGATTTTGTTTTCAAGCTATTTCGGGAGCAGGTGCCGAAGCTTGGGAAACAATTTCAATGCATTCTGTGTTGTCACTTCTATGACTTCTTCCACTGAGATCCCTTTCACCTGGGCAATATATTCTGCTGAGATGGAAATGTTTTGGGGCTCATTCCGTACCTGAAACAGAACAACGCATATGCTAAATCACACATGACACTCACGGGAAGCAATCCTTGGAGACTGTAGATAAAAGAGAAGAAAATGAGTTGCTAAAAACAACTGATGAGCTCTTCTTTTTTTCAAATGGGGGGAGGTGAAGCTGAGAAGGCCCTGAACTTCAGCTCGTAAGGTACCGCCACAATGTTGATTGTAAGTCTGTGCTGCTCTTGAAAAGAGCCCTGGGGTATTAACAATTGAGGTCCCAGCACCTGGCAAATGAAGCAGTCTGCACATAGTGCACACTTGGCAACCTGCGTGACTGATGGATTAACTCTGCTTTGTTGCTCAAATGAGTGCTTGTAAAGGTCATGCTTTGCTGCTTGGCTATTTCACCTCACAGGCTACATTACAGTCTGATTCAAGTAATGCCATCGTGTGTCTGGAAGACTGCACAGAGCACGTACCCCTATTTCACTGAATCTAAGATGCATTTCTCCCCTATCTTAACATGTCTGAAATTGATATATATTTTATTGACATTCAATGGCATTACAAAGTATTATTGGTAGTGTTTTTTTTCCCTAATGGTCACAAAACAGTGGCACATCTACAATGAGTGGTATTTAGATTTGATGAAATATATTATTATTGTTATTATTAAGTTATCTACTCAGGATGATTATGTTCAGAGGAGTAAGATAACTGTTAAGTTTAAAAAAAATTTTTTTTTTTGGTAAAGGTAGATTTATTTAGAGAGATATATACTGCATAGAGTATAGGCTGTTTCAAACGGCAAGAGAAAGGCCACAAGGTGTGGGGGTTGGGTGCTCAGGTTAAAGTCAAAGTAGGTACACACTCCACAGAGTGCAGGCTGTCTCCAAAGAGGAGGGAGCAAGAAAGGCGGCCAGGGGCAGTGTTGCCAGTTTTTATGGGCTCTGTAGCTTCCCACGCCTACAAGTGGCAGGACTATTCCAACTACCCTGGGGAAGGCTCTGGGATTCCCAGGAATTGGGCTACCCATCCACTCTTTGACCTTTTGTGGTTAGCCTTGGGACAGTCATGGTGTCTGTGGGCATGTTATTTATCATGCTAATATGCTACAATGAGCGTATAATGAAGCTCAAGGTCTACTAGAAGTCAAATCTTCAGCCATCTTAATCCTCAAGGCGTACTGGGAGTTGAATCTTCCACCATTTTGGTGTTAACAGCTGTCATTCCGGGCATGGCTGTGCCCTGCCCCCTTCCCTCCTGTCTCATTTCTCCCATCAGAAATTTTATTCCCATAATCTTCTAGGGGTGCAGAGGGGTGATGATTCATCTTTTTCGAAACTACTTCCAGGCTGAGTAGGGGTGTTGATTCTGCCTATCAAGGAACACAAATCTCCGAATGCCTAAACTAGGGGCCCCAGGGGCAGGATAAAAAAATAATCTTGATAGTGTAGCCTAAGAAAACAAAGAAAAATGTGCACCAAGATTTAGGTTCAAGGACATTCAACATATTGTTTATAAAATAGTTGACCCTTGAATAATATGGGTTTGAACCGTGTGGGTCCACTTACATACAGATATTTTTCCAATAAATACTACAGTACCACAAGATTCAAACTTTGTTGAATCTACCAATGCAGAACCACGAAGACAAGGGCTGAATTCACAGATGCAAAACTGTAGATACAAAGGGTGAATACACGTGGATTTTCCATGGTGTGGGGTGGGGTGAGTGTTAGCACCTCTAACCCCTCCATCGTTCAAGGGTCAACTGTAAATAACAATATCAAGTTAACTATATTATGGTATATTAACACACTAAAATTTATGCATTTACTAAACCTGATGAAGAAAAGTATATTTATTGACATTTATATATGTTCATCACATAAAAGCAGGTTATGAAATGATGTGTTCAGGCTAATCTTACTTTTATGAAAAATATATATGTGTACATATATGGATATAAAAAAACTAGGACATAAGAACATGCATTTATTTAGTGCTTGCTGTAGGCAAGGTTTTGTTCTAAGCTTTTCATGGAATCTGTCATTTAATCCTCAAAATAACTCTGAGATGGGTACTATTATTATTAGCATCCCTTTTTTATAAATAAGAAGGTATCCTAAACAGCTAGTAGGTAGCCCAGTTGAGGTTTAGACTTGAGCAATCTGACATGAGAGTTTACACTTTAACCACTATATTATAGTGGTAACCTTTCAGTGGTAGATGGCTCTATTTTCTTGTTTATGATTTTCTATGTTTTCTAATTTTCTAGAACAATCATATTTTGCTTAAAAAGAATATGCAATTTAAAAATTCAATTATTCAATACATATTTTCAGTACCTGTTTAGTACCTGTTTAAATCTAGATGCCAGAGACTCACTATTTTTATCAAATCATCTAAATACAATTATAAAACTGAGTCACAACAGCATTTGAAATTCATTGCTGTTTAGGGAGAAAAAGCTAGATTCTTCTCCTTCTATTTCACACAGTAGTAAGAAGGTAATTCTGTACCATTCTGTCCTACACTCAAACAAAAAAATAACTAGTTATGGTCCTTTATTTTCTCATTCCTCTGTCTTCTATATTCTTTTAAGGGCTGATTAATAAAAATAAGTAACTAATTGGTTGTTAATTAGGAAAATTCACATTGTAATCACAAATAATCATAATTTACTAAAAATTACATCATTACTACTCCCAAACCTCTGACTCTTGAGTGCCAGTCCTCCAAATCTGGGAGGCATGGAGACACAGATCTGATGGGCAGTCAGGGAACTTAGTAAGCTATACATTGGGAGGTGATTATAACATGCACTGTCTAAAGCAAATGAAGTAGATACTGTGGCTTCCTTTCAGAAAACTGCAATTTATAATAGTTCCAATATTTAAAATATGATTCTCTATATTTTTTGCCTACAATAACAAAGAGTACAGCAAAGATCACATAAATAAATCTATGACTATATCATATTGATATAGTACTTGAGCTAAAAGAAACTGAGCCTCATTTTAACATGCTAGTTAAAATAAAAATAAACATTTATTGAGCATCTACTATATACCAGACCCTGGTAGGCACTTTCATATATATTACTTCATTTAATCCTTACTGTAATAATTCAAAGTATTTTATTATTATTTTGCCCACATTTTATAAAAGAAGAAACAGTTTCAGAGAGCTTAAGTAACTTGCCCAAAGTCACAGAGGTAGTGGGCAGCAGAGATGGAATTTGAATCCAGGTCTTTCTCACTCTAGACAATGAGCTTTTTACTATACTGGTCTAGATTTCAATATTACAAAAATTAGGACATGGCATATATAAAATAATATTCTTTGGAGCATAATTAGCTATATTTAGAAAAGACCTGAAATTAAGTTAACATAACCTCTTAACCTAGCATTAAAACAGGATTCCTTCATATTTACACTGTAATGAGAAACACAGCTAAACCAAAAATAGTTCAAATAGTTCAAATGAAAGATACAATTTAAATAATGTAAATATCAGAAAATCATTTACCTGTTTTTCTGGTCCTAGTGCAGGTGAATCTGTTTCTAAGCAAATTGAAGTTAAAGGCAACTGTTTCACAAGTTTCTGCTTCTTAGAGGAAAGAGAAAGCTAGTAAGTTTAAAACATGAAAAATAAAGACCAAAAAAAAGGAGCATTAAACCAAGATGAGAATGCATTTTACTCTGCAAGAATCTATAATTCATGCTTTAATATTAAATCAATAAATGTTCGCTATGTTCTCATCATTCTACTATTAACAGATTTAAACAGAAACATTCTTTGCCAAAAATTATCCAAAGCTTCCAGGGACCGAAAAAGTAGTATAGCAAAAAATGAAGTACATCTAGCAAGAAGCACCTGACATCACGTGTCCACTGAAAGATCCAGAGAGATTTCTGTTGTTTCTCCACCACCATCACCACCACACTCAGTGTTTCTTTCCACTGCTCATTTTAAATCACTCATGGCTTTATGTTTATAAAACCACAATTCATATGCACATTTTAAATTTTAGATTGGGTGGTAGATGATTTTATTTTGTTCATGATTTTCTAAGGACTACAGTGAACACAATGAGTATTATACCAAAAACATAATTCTCTTGCAGCTACTGTACTTTTAAAGTAAAAAATGGGAAGGAGATACATTAGGCAAAGTGAACACTGTTAGAATAAACTGTTTTAAGGTTAAAATTTCAAAAGCACAGAAATAGGTATATTTATGCACTTTTGGTAGCATGAAAGTTAAACTAGTATAAACCTCCATGAAGGAAACATGACAACATAACCAAAAATTTAAGATGTATACCCTTTTTTTTCCCAGTGATTTCATTTATAGGCAACAACTACAAAAGTGAAAATGTGTATTTGTGGATGTACAAAGGCATTCACTGAGTACAGTTTACAACAGTGAAAAATGAGAAACAACCTAATCTTTACTTGAGGTAATGCTTAAATAAATTATGGTGTATTCATATTGTGAAATATGCAGTCATTTTAATGACAGTTCATAGTTACAGATACAAATAAATACCTGTGAAGCTGACTCAAAACAAAACAAAAAGAATAAGGTATCTTCTTATTTTATCTGAATCAGTGTTAACAATGATTGTCTCTGAGTGGTAGGATTTGAGTTGTCTTGAAATTTGTTCTTTTCCATTTTCTACAATGTACAAATATTATCTTTAAAATTAGAATATATAGCATTTTAGTTTTGGCAAAGAAACAATACCACAGCTAAAGATTACTACTAGTTAAGAAATTCCTCTACAAATAATAAAAGTAGAAAAAATAAAAATAATCTTGGATTATCATTTAACTTGGCCTAACTGACATTTCAAGAACACTCCACCCAACAATAGCAGAATATACATTCTTTTTCAAGTATATATGTTCTAATCACCAAGACAGACCATGTACTGGGCCATTAAATTTCAACCAATTTAGAAGAATTAAAATCATACAATGTATGATTTTAGAATTAAACAGAATTAAAGTAGAAATCAGTAACAGAAAGATACCAGGAAAATCTGTAAGTATTTGGAAATTAAACAACACACTTTTAAACAATTGATATGGTCAAAGAGAAAGTCACAAGGTAAATTATACAATGTTTTGAACCAAAAGAAAGTGAAAATACAGCATATATCAAAATTTGTGGATTGCAAGTATAAGAAGTGGGTAGTGCTAATGCAACTCTAGTATTAAATGTATATATTAGAAAACATATGAGATTTTGAATAAATAATTTAAGATTCTACCTTAAAAAACAATAAAATGAAACTATAAAAAGGAGAATATATTATGATCAAGTAGAATGTATCCTAGGAATGCAAGGTTGGTTCAACATCAGAAAATCAATCAATATAATATAATCAATGGCAAAATAAAGAAAATACACATGATCATCTCAGTAGAAGCAGAAAAAGCATTTGACAAACTGAAAATGGAAATAAAATTGACAGAAAATAAAGTTTCTTAAAAAATAGAAAAGAAAGAACATTTGACAAAAATCCAACATCCATTTTTTATTTAACATTCTGCTGGTAGCTGTTTATAGTGAAATAAGACAAGAAAAAGAAATAGAAGAGCACAAATATTGGAAAAGCAAAGGTAAAGCTGTCTTCGTTTATAGATGACATGATTGTCTATATAAAAAATCCTGAAAAAAACCTACAAAACTCTACTAAAACTAATAATTTAGCAAGGTCACTTGATGAAAGTTTAGCATATAAAAGTCAGCTGTATTTCCATACACTAACAATGAATAATTGGTAACTTACTTTTAAAACAGTATCATTTAAAACAGAATGAAAAATATGAAATTTCTAGGGATAAATATAACTAAATATATGTAGGTTCTATATGCCAAAAATTATAAAACACTGATGAGAGAAATGAAAGATCCAAATAAGGAGATATACTGTGTTCATGTGAATTATCCCCAAATTGATCTATAGATTCAATACAATCCCAATAAAAACCTCAGTCAACTTTTTGTAGTTTTATGAAGCTGATTCTAATACATACGGAAAAGCGAAGAACTTGGAATAGTCTAAATGATTCTGAAAATAGATAAATATTTGGAGGACTCATACTACCTGACTTTTAAACTTACCAGAAATCTAATCATGATAGTGTGATACTGGCAAATGGACAGGCATGTACCAAGATAGATCAATGGTATAGAATTGAAAAATGAGAAACAGACCCTGATATAAGGCCAATTAGTTTTTTTTTTTAAGTGCCAAAGTAATTTAAGGAAGAAAGAATGGTCTTTTCCACAAATTGTACCAAAACTAGACATCTACTGGCAAAAAATGAATCTTGACTCATACTTCACATCATATATAAAATAGATCACAAACCTAAATGTAAAATTAAACATAAATCTTCTAGAAGAAAATATAAGAAAAAATTTTTGTGACCTTGGGTTAGATAAAATTTTTTTAGATATGACAGTAAAAGTACAAATCCTAAAAGAAAAATACTGATCAACAGAAGTTCATCAAAATTAAGAACTTCTGCTCTTTGAAAGACACTTCAGAAAATGAAAAGACTGGGAGAAGAAACTTTCAAAACATACAGCATATAGGACTTGTGTCCCAAATATATAAAAACTCTGCCAACTCAATAATGAAAAACAATATTGTTTTCCCCGCCCCTTCCTGCCAAAAGGTGCAAAATATTTGAAAGGAACTTCACCAAACAGAGAGATATGGATGTATGAATGGAAATTAAGCATATGAAAAGATGTGCTTATTTTAAATGTCATTAGCTACTGAAGAAATGCAAATGAAAACCACAAAGAATGATGACTCTACCTGTATCAGAATAGCTAAGAAAATGACAACACCAAGTGCTGGTAAGGATGCAGAACCAAAACTTTGACGTATGACTGGTGGGATTTCAAAATGATTCAGCCACTTTGGAAATCAGTTTGACAGTTTCTTATTAAGGTAAACATATACTTACCTTATGACTCAGCAGTACCACTTCCAGGTATTAATGTGACAAAAATGAAAATATATGTCCAAACAAAGATCTATGTGTGAATGTTTACAGCAAATCTATTCAAAATAGTCCCAAACTGAAACAATTCAAATGATCATCAACTGGTAGGTGGATATGCATATTACTCAACCATCAAAATAAATGGACTACTTATACATGCAGTAACATCGATGAACCCAAAAGCATTAAATAAAAGAAGCCACATCCAAAAGCCTACATAAATTATTTCATTTATATGACATGCTAGAAAAGGCAAAACTATAGGGACAGAAATCAGATCAGTGGTTGCCTGGGACGAGAGATAGAATGAGGGATTTACTAGAAAGAAACATGAAGCAATTTTTTTGGGATGATGGAAATATTCTCTATCTTGAATGTGGTGGTAGTTATATGCCAGTATATACTTGTCAAAACACACAAATTTATACACCTAAAAAGGGTGAATCACTATAGGCGTATTCCTCATTAAGCCTGAATTTAAAAATTGTAATTAAAAAAAAACCAGATAAATGATTGCTATTGAAGACTTTTTAAAAAATTGGCTATACTTCAATTCTATACTTACACTAGTTTTTGAATATTAATAGACAACTTACTGTATTTCATAGAATTTAAGGTGCCATTGATTGTTACATGCATCTCAATTTCACATACAATAAAATATGAAAAAACAAGTATCTTAAAAATGGTGAAATAAGTTAGATTACCTAAATTGGTTTTTGTTACATTGTTCATTGGTATAATTTATATACCATGATATTCACTCTTTAAAAGTATACAATTCAGTAGTTTTTACTATATTCACAAGGTTGTACAACCATCATCACTGTGTAATTCCAGTATATTTTCATCACTCTAAAAGAAACCCTTTACCCATTATTAGCAGTCACTCCTTGTTTTCCTTTTCCCTGGCAACCACTGATCTACTTTTCTGTCTCTATGGATTTGCCTAGTCTGGACATTGGACAAATGGAATGATATAGTATGTGGTCCTTTGTGTCTTGCTGTTTTTTTCTTAGCATAATGTTTTCAAGGTTCATCCATGTTTTAGCATGAATCAGTACTTCATTTCTTTTTATGGCTGAACAATATTCCATTGCAGGGGTACAGCACATTTTGTTCATCCATTCATCAGCTGATGGACATTTACATTTATACTTTTTGGCTATTATGAATAATGCTATAAACACTCCTGTACAAGTTTTTGTGTAAGTATGTTTTCATTTCTCTTGGGTATCTACCTAGAAGTGGAATTGCTGGGTCACATGGTAACTTTATATTTAATGTTCTGAGGAATGAAACTGAGTGGATGTAAAGTGATAACTCACTGTGCCTTTGATTTGTGTTTTCATAATGGCTAATGATATTGAACATCGTTTTATGTGCTTATTGGTCATTTGTATGTCTTTTTTTGAGAAATAGCTATTTAAACTCTGCCAATTTTTAAATCAAGTTATTTGTCTTTTTATTGTTGAGTTGTAACGGTTTTATATATTCTGGACACTAGACCCCTTATCAGATATATAATTGCAAATATGTTTCTCATTCTGTGGATTATCTTTTCACTTTCTTGATAGTGCTTTTGAGGCATGAAGGTTCAAATTTTCTTTTTATTGTTGAAGTTTTAAATTTTGATGATATCCAATTTAATCTATTTTTTCTTTGGTTTGCTTGTTCTTTTAGTGTCATAGCGAAGAAACCATTGCCTAATCCAAGATCATAAAGATTTATATCTGTTTTCTTCTAAGAGTTTTATAATTTTAGCTCTTACATTTAGTTCTCTGATCCATTTTTGAGTTACTTTTCATATAAGTGTGAAGTAGGGACCTAGGATTAATTTTTGTAATAAAACCAGAATAGTATCACAAATATATAATAAAAGTTCATATCTTAAAGTCTATTTCACAAAGTGTAAAATGAATTTTAATGAGAGAATTTACCTGTCCACTTCTAATGACAGAAGGCGGAATTGAGAAGAAGTACCCAGCTCTTATTCCTTCCATGGCTACAGATGGCCGACCGTCAAATGCATGAAGCAACACTTTGTCAGCACCTCTCAAAAATTAAAGATAAATCAGAGTCCTATTTTATTTCCTTAATGAGAGATTTCCCATTAATCAAATTGAGCAAGACAGATTTTAAGTAAATGTTGGCCACTGTGATATAAAGATAACGTTCTGTGACGTCTAAAACATAGATAAATACAGTGTTCAAATAGTAGAATAAAAATATAGTATATTCTTAATCTTTAGAATAAAACAAATTAAATTGAAATACAAGTTTTTAAGTTATTATTTAAACTTCCTATACCATCATACCTTTTCTAAAAGTTTGTGACCTGTCAAATTACTGTTCTTAATAGGTTTTTAAGCAGTCAAATTGTCCTTAACAAGAACGCTAGTGGAAGAAGAAACAGGGAGATAAATGACCTATAAATTCAATAGTCAGAGTTGGCTTCTAAAAACTACCTCTAGTTGTCAAAGGATGGCTGCTCAGCCTGCATGAAAATCATGCTCTAGGTGATTCCAGAGTGGCTTAGTCCTCAACACTGAGAAATACAATGCTTTCTTGTTGCAGGCAATTACATTTACTTCACTGTTTGGTGCTGTTTTTCAAATGGTAGGTGTGACATTTAGTGGGTTACAATCATAAGTAAGTTATGAAATCAATTTAATGGGTCAAGACTGGCCAGCATGTGCTTGTATGATACCTATTACAGATAGCTATACACACATACATATAGATGTACTGCTTCTTAAACTTTGGTCAGTTTTCTGTATGTGTATACACTGAATCTCAAAGTCTTAGAACCAAAATGTGTACATACTGAGTTTCAAAATAAAATATACTTCTTAGTGTGAATGGCACATTAAACATTTTGAAAAGTAATCCAATAAGAAGTATTTTTACTTCAGGAACAACTGGTGAAGATGACAGTGCATTTTACGTACGATGGCCATAATCTGTATAGTACAAGCCAGAAAATATGCAAAACAGTAACCCAATTATATCACCATTCTTTACTTTGTTTTTTCCTCTCTCACTAATCAGCTGGTTAAGCTGACTAAAATATAAGAACTGATAATTTTTAAATTAAGGAATATAATTACTTGATTCAGTTTTTCATTTGCTTTATCCTGGTCTCATAATCATAATCACACTGAAAACCTTGTAAATAGTAGGCTGATTTGCAAAACCATCTTAGTTGATTTCCATCTCTACCCTCAACCCATTTCCTTTCCTTTAATAAATCAAATAAAACATAGCTTGTTGTACAAGAACATGGACTAGAATTGTCAAACTGAAACGTTAAACATATTTTTTTCAGGAACCTAAATACCTTGCTCATTTAAGAGGCTGATGGTGGGTCTTCCAGCTGAGCGTGAGTGAACATTTCTGTTTAACAAACAAAAAAATTCCTTCTAAGTACTTAATATAAAAGTATTATTTTTGCTATACTAAAGAAATGCAGAGAAAAAGAAATGCAGATCTCCATTTCAGGAGAATCATTATTAAATTTGCTCTATAAATATTAATAAAGAAAGATGATTAATTAACCTACAAAGGCAAATTTAGTCTTTTGGCTAACTGGACCTGTCTGATTAGGACTTGTCTTTGCTCTTCCTTCTGATCATCAGTGCCAGCAATTCTAGGGGAGAAATCTAGTCCAACCTGTAACAGAAAAATAAAACAGAATTACATGTTTATGGTTTAACAAACCCCAAAAGATGTACTATGGAGCAATACTGTCCAAGAGAAATACAATGGGAGCCCCAACAACAGTCACGTACACTTTACATTTTCTAGTAGCCACATTAAAAACACTAACAAGAAACAGGTGAAGTTATTTTAATAATATGCTTTAATCCACTGTATCTAAAACACTACCATCATCATTATTAGACAGTAATATTATTATTTCAACACACAAATAAACATCATTGAGTTATTTTATGTTCTCTTTTGGGGGGATGGCACTTTGAAATCCTCTGTGCTTTTTACCTTGCTAGCTCATCTCAGTTTGTACCAGTCACATTTCAAGTGCTCAGCAGTTGCATGTGGTCACCACACTGGACAGTGAAGATGATAAATGACTGCTTCCCTCGATACTACTTTGGCATACATTGCTATAACCTATATTCTGAATGTGTTATTCTTATCATTTATCTTTAGTTAGAAGTGGAGTTCATTACCAAGGGATACAATGATTCACAACTATAAATTATTTAATAAAAAATGTTCTTTAATTATAAGCTACAACCTATTTAAAGTATCCTTGAATATACTATTTTAACTAACCAGAGAGATAACTCTATTTAAGCAAAAGTAAAAAAAAAAAGGAGCAAAGTATATTGAAATGTTAATAAAGTAGTTTTCTTCCATTAACATAAGCCTATGGTGAGGCTTTCTATTGTTTTATCCCTAAGCGCTTTCAAGGAGGTACTGACAAATTATTATTCTTCTGAACAGGGTGAACTTAATTATCCAAGTCTATTATAATCACCAATATTGAATTAAGGATTATCTTTATATATCACATGAAAGTCTGAATTAGAAATCATCTGATCAGCTAGTAGGTATTTACCTCTCCAATTGCCAACAATCGATCCTTATAATTCTCGATAATGGGCAAAGCTACGTCCAAATCCTGGGAGAAAAAAAGTAAATTTATTAAAATCTGAGAGGGGAATTGATATTTTATAAACACCTATTATATCCCAGACACGATGCTATACTGGGTCCTTTATGTACATTCAATATCTAGAGGAAGTAGAGGAATAATAATTCTTCCATAATGGTCAATACTTCTACCTGGAAATTTGAGTTACAAGAACATGACTTTTTATGAAGATTCCCACTTGAACACTTCCTTCTGTTTAGGAGGCATTTCCTGGCACTTAGGAGGACTGATTTAAATTTTCTGGAATAGCTGAGCAAGAGAGCAGAAAGCCACCAGGGGGTCACCTTTGTGAGTGAGTTTTGGGGAGTTACATTCTTCTCTTATGGTACTAATGGTTTGTGAGTTATAACAGTGAAAATTCCATACATCATTTGCATTATTTTCACTGATTTCTTTTGTCTTTATAGTCCTGCTTAGCCTATTTTTGTCTTAAAGGTTCAACAATGTAAATACTAAACATCACATACGTGCTTGCATGTCAACTACCGAAGTAATGGTATACCATTGGTTTCCATGACATTACTACCTCTACTTAAAGAGAATTCCTCCACTTAAAAAGGCAAGGGAAAGACAAATACATGAAATATTTGCTTCTAGATATTTTAAACTACTTTAAGGATTTTAGTCTCAGAATATGTAAATTAAAGGTACTTCTACTAAGGATAATCAGAACAAGGGAGAATCAAGAAAAGGGAGGTACAGCAGAAGGGGGAAGAACAGGAGATTTTATAATTACATCACGAGAAAGAGAAAAGAAGAGGAGGGAGGGTAAACTCAGGCCTTAGACATTCCAGTAGATTCAATGATGGAGAATAATACTGTCAGGAGCTAAGAGTATATAACCCCAGGTATCAGAGATACCTGGGTGTCTGACAATAGCTGAGTAGGTCAAAATGTCAAGCAAAGATGTTCCTCATCAAACATCCAAACTACTATGTGTCTCTGGAACCTCAGAGGGACTGGAGGAGTTGGAGAGATTACCCAGGAAATGTTTGACACTTAGAAAGTCTTAAGTCTGAAAGAAATTGCACATTTGGATGAAGACCAGATACAGGGGAAAAAATGCTTCTTGGAAAATGTATTATCTATAAAAAGAAGCAAAACAAATTTACAATGAGACCATTACAATTCCTATGAAATATTTTGGAAGTTTCTCGTAAGCCAAGGATAGTAAGTAGAAATTAACATAATTCATATCACTAATTTAATATATATAAATGTATTTGTATGTGTGGTCTATCATTTTATTTTAATAGATGTAAAAATATTTATTAAGGACAATCATAAGTCTATTTCTGACTTCAGTTTTATTCCCACTTCCTCCATTAAGGTCTCAAGTTCCTTAACAGCTAAGGGTTCTGTTGTGGGGTTTTTAAATATCCTATACCTCTATATCCTATGATTGTGAATACTACCACTACATAATTATTCACGATTTACAAATAAGGAAATTGAGACTTGGCAAAGGTTAAGTGCCACAGATTGTAGAAGCCAATAGGCCAAGTGTCTTTGACTTCAAAGCCCATGCTGTTTCCACTATGCTGCTGAAAGAAGAAAAGAGAGAGAAGGAAGGGAAGGAGGAAGAAAGGGAAGGAAGAAAGAAGGACAAAGGGGAGGGAGGAGGGGACACTTACTCTGAATGATTTAAAATATTTAGAACAGATTTTTTATTAAATAAAATGTTTAGTCTTCAGAACCTTTAGAACAGGGGTCAGGTGTGTAACAGAAACTAGTGAAGTGGGTTAACTAGTGAAGACAGGAATCAACTGGACAGCACATGCCCTGCCTGCAGGGGGCAGCAGATTGTGGCCAGTGAATTGTGATGCCCCAGGGTATGGCGGGGGCCTAAATCCTGCCTGGTAATAGTAACTATAAATAAATTAATTCAGGAATATGCTGAAAGATTTGTGTGATGCTAGGCAATTTTCATTTTAAAAACCAAGGTAATTTAGTGAATATTTTCTACATACCTAACTTTGTACCACATATTGGGAGCTTATAATCTAATCAATACATGAAAACTAAACCAAGACATGAACTACAAGCACGTTAGGAATACAACTGCTTAACAGTGGTCCTTCCCAGAGGGCTTTCTTGAGATGTGATGAGTTCCCATCTGCTTTCAGAATCTAAAATTACCTGAATATTGCCGATATCTTAATTAATTTTGTAGTTATACCATCCTGTCAGTTCTACACTCATGCCAAAAATATGCCAAATCCACCCACCTCTCTTCCACTCTACTGCTACCACTGGTCCAAACCACCATCGTTTCTCACACGGACATCGTAATAGCCTCCTAACTATTCTCCCTTCTTCCTTTTTTGCCCTCTTCAAAATCAATTCTTCACACCATTGCCAAGGAGATCTCCTCAAAACAGAAACCATATCCTGTCACTCCTCACTTTAAATCCCCCATTGATGTAAACTACAATCCAACAAGGCCCCGTATGAGGTGGTCGGTGATCCCTGCCCAATCCCTCTGACCTCATCACTGTTACTTTCCCTTCCCCGTCGTCACATCAGTCCTCTTTCTTGACCACATCAAGCTTATTTCTACCTTAGGACCTTTGTGCTTGGTTGTTTCCTTTGCCTGTAACACTCTGACCCCTCCCTTTGCATGGTCAATTCCTTTGTAGCATTGAGGCTGCAGTTCAAATGTCACCGCCTCAGAGAGGCCTTCTTTGACCTCACAAGCTAAAAACCAACATCCATAATCCCCAACACACAATCTTGGTTCATGGGCTTTAAAGCACTTACTATTACCTAAAGTTTTCCTGTGAATGTATCTATTTGCTGATCATCTGTCTGCCCCCACCTAGACTCCAGCTTCCATGAGAAGGATTTGACTCTAGTGCTTAGAGCAGTGCTTGGAATACAGTAGGTGCTCAGTAAACACTTGTTGACTGACTATCTAAATGAACGCCTATTAGTATAATCTCTACATAAATGAAAGAAATACTGTATCTTGTATCTTTATTTTTTCTGGATATTTTATCACTTTTTGCCAAAGCAATGTGACAACATGATAAGAAAATGTGAAAGCAAGTTGCCTATAACTCGACCAGATCATCACTGCTAGTAGCATTTCTATATTTTTCTCTTTAGTCTTTTCCTTAGAGAATATATTTTCACCTGGATGTGACTCATAGTGAATAAACCATTTGGTGTCCTGCTTTTCTCCCTACACTACACTGTAAACATTTCCCACGCTGCTACATAAACATTACAATCTTCATTTTTCGTAAATGCATTATATTTAACACTCTACAAGTTAACTAGTTATTCCTTTATTTCTGAACCTCTAGGCTGTTTCTACTTTTTCTCTATTATAAATAATGCTGCAATGAACATCTTTGTAGAAGACAGAATTTTCTTTTGGATTATCACCTTGGAATATAAATCAGAAAGAGGAGGATTACTAAGTCAAAAGGTGCTATTATTTTTTATGGTTCTTGTTTCATAGGACTGTTACCTTTAAAGTGACACTTCTTTGATCTTCTGGTGAAACTCCTTGAACTGGGTGAACACCCAAGCATGGCAGGACAAACCCATTATACCTAAAAATGTAGAACAAATTAAGAAAGCAGGAATATTAGACTAGGAGACAATGTTACTCTAAAGAACAAGTAGGAAGGGATTTTCTTCGCGCTATGTTTTTAAGATTTCTTTCTTCTTATTCTCTAAAAACATACTATCAATATGACATCATAACTGCATCCTTATTAACAACTCTTCCTAATTCTTAATGAGAAGTAGCACCTTTCTGAAAGCTTCATGATCTTTTCAAATTCTCCTGAATGTTCAGCAACCACCACAAGAGCCATAACATTGGCCTGAAACAAAAATGAATAGAATAGTTAAGAGTTTCAAACAACATACATCCAAGATAATTAAATAAAAAGTTAAAGTCTTCTGTGTTTTCAGTTATCCTTGCTCACTCACACTTCATGATATAATCACAATGGCTATCACTGAGTAGTCACTATGTTTCAGGCACTATGTTCAGTGAATATAAATATTAGCTCATTTAATCTATCTACCCCTATGCCATAGGCACTGCTATAATCCACTGCATGGCTCAAGAGACAGAGTTTTGGATGGAGCCAAATAACTTGCCCAAGATCATTAGGCCTGTGTAAAACTCCATGTAATCTCCCATAGTGAAAGATGGCTGTATAAAAAAGTGTACTGGCAACCATTTCTGACTGTCACATTCAGGGAAGACCACAAAATGCTAGTTACAATGAATTTCATAAACGCTTCCAAAAATTAGTAATTTTTTTCCCAAGCAAATCAGAATGCTTCAGAAAACTTTTATAATTTCTCCAAGAACTCCAGAATAATGCTAATTTAAGAACTGACAGAATCTGTTCCATGTTGCTGGTGAGCGTGGTGGCTGCGGGAACATGTCCTGGATTCAGACTATCTTCTATCGTTTTATTAATGGGCGTCTTTGGACATGTATAATCTCTAGGCCTTAGTTTCATCATCTACAAAATGGGTAACGGTTGACTATAAAATAGCAGCTTCCTCAGAGGGTTGTGGTGAAACATTAAATGAGATAATGTGAAGAACAGGTGTAGCTCACTGCCTGGCACATAGTAAATACTTAATAAATGCTACTTTTTATTAGCTTTTTATCACTGAGGCAAACTCAACATAGTAACTCTAAATTTCAATCTGTTTTAGATCAAAATTAGCAGGAAAACAAAGCAACAAAAAAGGGCAATTATAGATATTGACTTACTTTCTTGGCTTTCTCCAACACATCATCCAGATCCTAAAATAAGCATAAGTAATCACAATTATTTTGGATAGATAAGAACCTGTTCCTTGGCTGTGTAGATCAATGTAGTTGAGGCACCATAAAGAGTGACAATGATAATGGGGGAGGGTATAACTCAGTGGCAGAGAGGGTGCTTAGCATGTATGAGGTCTTGGGGTCAATCCTCAGTATTTCCACTAAAAATAGTTAAAAAGATAAATAACTTAATTATTCCCCTCAAAAAAACCTAACTAAATAAATTAAAAAAAATTTTTTTAAAAGAATGACAATGATGGCAAGGAACAGGGTAGTGGAATGTGCAGAGCCTGCACTGCTCCACCTTCTGTTTACTCTCAGTAAAATCTGGCTTCTGTTCCCACTCCACTATAACAGAAATTGTTATTCTCAAATATAAAGGACACTTCTCTGTGCTCCTACTCTCCTCCTCAGCAGCAATTGGAATCTCTCACTTGTCCACTCCTTTCCCGAAATATTTCCCACTCATTAGCTTCTGCAAATACTACTCTCCAACTGGCTACTACTTTTCATTCTGGCTGTCTCTCCTCTATCTGATTTCAGGACCTTATGCTTCTCTCTCTGTACTCACCTTAAGTGATCTCATGACTATGCTCACTTTGCTAATGAGTCTTCAATTTTTATCTCTAGCCTATAATTCTCTCCTGAACCCAAGATTCACATTTTAAAATGCCCAGATGATATCTCTACTTGGATGGATACTGGGTTTCAACCTGTGCCAAACATAACTCTTTTCTCCCCAACAAACCTATTCCTTCTGCCTGCCCTCTCCAACCTGTCTTCCCCCATCTCACTAAACAGCACCACCATCTCTCCACAGCATCCTCAAGTTCTCCCTTTCTCTCCCCTTCTACATCCAATTCCTCTCAGCTCGTACTATAGATTCTATCTCTAAAATATGCCTTGAATCCATCTGCTGCTCTCAAACTCCCCTGCAACCACCATCTCTTATCTACAAACTGCAAAAGCCTCCAAACGGGTCATCTAACTTTCACTTCTGCTCTCTTCTATCTATGAGCCACACATGAGCAAAATGGTTTTTAAATGGATATCAGGTCTCCTTACTCTCCTTAAAAACAAAAACAAAAACAAAAACCTTTTACTGGATCCTCATTGTGCTTCTAATGAAATCCAAACTCCTTACTGATCTACCTCACCTATCCTTTGCAAACCTCTTCGGTCTGGTTTTATGCTCAAGCTCCATCCAGTAGCTTGGCAGTGCCAAGTTCTACCTTGTTTGGAGGCCTGCAACCTGCCTGCTTTCCTCACCACCGTACGTCCACCCCCTTGCTTGTCTGGCTTTATAGTCCCAACTTAAGTGTCACCTCTTGAGACGTTTCCATCTAAAATAGACTCCACTCTTCCTTTTATATTATTAGCCTTTAGTTTTCAATGTAGTGGGTAAAACACTTTGAAACCCCGATTTTGTAGTATGTGGTTCTTTCTGTTTGCTTCTCTCCCAATTAGAACTGGAGCACGCGGCGTGTTGGAGCCAGCCGGTGTTTTGAGGACCGCTTCCTGGGGAAAGTGGATTCTCAGCCAGGACCTGTGAGGCCGGTGGATAAACAGCCGGGCCAAAGCAGGCAGAAGGACTCCAGTAGCCGGGAACAGCAAATAAAAGCCACGTGGAGATAGAAGGTTTATCTTTATTCAGGATCAGAAAGAAAAATCAGTGCGACTAAGATTAAACAGGGAGTAAGGAGCAAATTGCACAGGGCCATAGACAGAGGCCTGGGAGGATTTGAGGCTTCGTCCTAAAGGAGGAGAGCAAGATAACCTGAAGGGAAGAACGGGGGCCTCCCCTCTCCCACGGGCCCGGCCTCGCCTTCACGTACGCGGTCAAAGTCCGGAGCGGAGAGGTGGCAGTGACAGTCCACCAGCCCTACGCCCGCCGCCCCCATCGCCTCAGCCACTGAAGCTCTCCTCTCGCCCGCGGAGTCCCAGCCGGAACGCTGCCGCCGCGGCGGGCCAAGTTTCCGGCCGGACGCTTGCTCCTTCCTCCCGGGACACCCGCTCTTCCGCTCCCAGAGTTCCCGCCCACAGTTCAAGCTGGAAAAATGGAGAGGGGTCTTGAGTTGGTGGATCTTTCCCCTCCGCGGGACGTGGGACGAGTGGCCGGGACAGACGACAGGGTCTCGGTCCCTGCCACCTCCCGAAAAGACTTCCGGGTGCGCTGCACCTCGAAGCGGGCCGTGACGGAAATGCTAGAGCTGTGCAGCCGCTTCGTGCAAAAGCTCGGGGACGCGCTGCCAGAGGAGATTCGGGAGCCCGTGCTGCGAGATGCGCAGTGGGTACGGGCCCAGTAGCCATCTCTTGTCTTATCACCCCTTTTCTCCACACCCCAGGTTTCAAGAGTCAGAAAAAGCGCCTACGCCAGGCTTTGACAGAGTGAACGGTGCCGCTTGCTCCGTTAGAAAGCAGCCCGAGAAACGCGAGGGAAGGAAATAGATGCTAGAGGCAGTGGGGTATTATTGTTAATTACCTAAACCGCTGCTGTCAGAAAAATGCAAGGCGAGCCACGTATGTAACTTGACATAAAAATAAGAAACAATGGGTGAAATTAATTTTAATAATATATTTTGTTTAACCCACTATATCCAAGATACCGTTTTAACTTGTAATAGTTGGAAAATGAAGGAGATATTTTACATTCTTTTGTTCATATACTGAGCTTTTCAAATCTGATGTCTTAAATTTACAGCTCATCTCCTTTGGGACTAGCCACATTTTAAGGCCTCAGCAGCCACAAAGTGGCTAGTCTAGACTCTTGAGAAATTCTCCAGGAAAGGGTAGTCCTGGAAGTCAGTCAGTCACCAGGCTTGCTTTTAGCCTTTCCTTTTGCTTATTTTAGAACATCTGGTAAAGACAACGAAAACATTTTCTCTATATGTCTAAAGTAGAGAAAGACTCTGTCTTGATTATAAACTTCACTAAGAATCACACATTGACCCTTGTAATATATTTCCCCTTCCTTTCTCAAATATTTTGCGGAGTCCCGAAGAAGATAGTTTTTTGGGAAGAGACATAACAAATTTGAGGGATTGGTGCCTGTGAAAAGAAAGCACAAAATCTGTTTATATATAGGAAGAAATTAAAATGCGGAACGCTTTTGAGTGTGAATGACCACAGTGTAAAGAAAGTAAAGGTTAAGTGGAAGAATGAAGGAACACTCCTTGGGTTGTGATTCTGTATTCCAGTTTTGTATACACTGGCTCTTAAGTCATTCCCTCCTTGCAAGCAAGGGAAGAGTAAGAGGCATACTTGAGGACATTTTTCGTAGTTTTTTGGGAGAAGACTGTTTTGTTGCGTAATGATCTTAGAATTTACCACTTTCTAGGAAGTGCTAAAGTACTTAGAACATTTAATTACCTTACAGAAAAAAAGGAACTTAGCTTAATCTATTTTACCCTATTTAGTAGATGATAAAGTGAATTAGAAGATAAAAGGTGTATACTCTTAAACTACCAAAAAATTCACTTGTTTTATTTTAATTAAAGCAGATAAAAGGCAGAGGCTTTAATTATGTTGAGACTTCTTTATCTAAAACCATATAGTATAGTAGCATATTCTAAAAGAAGTAGTATTGGTACCACTGTACAAAGAATATTACAAAGACAATTTATATTCTCAGATAATTCTTGAAAGTATATATAGAAAGTCAGATTTTACCTTGTAAAACCTTTGAAGTGTAGAATATGTACTTTATCTCATAATTATTAGTTATCATTTGATTTAAGCTTATTTTTAATTATACAAAATGTACAAAATACATTCTCACTATAAAGAATAACATAAAGCAAAAGTATTTGAATTTCCCTCTCCTATCCCTCTTCCTTCCTGGAAATAACTTACTATTTTGAAGGGCTCTTGGAAGGTGTAATCCTTTTTTTTTCTTGGCTTCTCTCTCTGTTTTTAAATTTTTTTTTTTTGTTTTTTACATTAATAGTGTCATGGTACTGTATTGTTAGCAAGTTGCTTTTTTTAAAATGAAATATGGCTTTGACTATTTGTTTGTCAATATTATGTAGAGAAATGCTTCATTCTTTTTAAGTATTGTGTGATATGGATATATTGTATGTTTAACCATTCCTACCTAATTTTGAATTTAGATTTTGTTATTTTTCCCTCGATATTTCATAATTTCAAACAGTGCTGAAATAAACGTGCTCAGCACATCCTCTATGTTTTTATGAGACTAGTCCTTTAGGATACATTGCTAGAAGTGAAATTACTAGGTTGTAGGGAATACACATTTAAAATTTGGATGATATTACCAAATTCCTTTAGTCTTTTATTTTTTAATGTATTATGAACATGTTTAACCTTACAAAAAGTAGACCAAAAAGTAGACTAGTTCAGTGGACAGCCCATATCATCACAAAATTTAAGTTATCAAAAATTCGTTATACTTCCTATTGTAAAGCAAATTGCATATCTTGTGTCATTTTGTTCCTACATACTTAAGTGTACAGCTCAAAAAAGTACAATCCTATGTAAAGTAGAAAGTAATTTCACTTTCTTTTAAACATGTATATTTTCCCTCTTGTTAACACTGACACTCATTCAGTGTATTCGTAGTACTTACACCCTTGAGATTCAACTGAGTCCAAATTTGTTAGCTTTTCTTTTCTTTCATTTAAGGAGTACTTTTTGTTGTCGTTTACAATAATATTTTGAAATTTTGCAGCACATTTTCCCATAGATAGCATAATGGCTGTCAGAGCTAGAGTGTAGGTAGAATTAGTGGTCGAAGTGAAACCTTCCTTTATTGAAAATAATAAATACACTAATAGGTTATTGTGTTACTTTTCTTTGTATTCTCTAGCACAAATCTGAAATTGTTATTTTGCCAAAATGTTTAATTCAGTATTTAAAGTTATTTTTAGTGACTTGCCTATTGTGAATGTGTTGCAGACTTTTGAATCAGCTGTGCAAGAGAATGTCAGCATTAATGGGCAAGCATGGCAGGAAGCTTCAGACAGTTGCTTTATGGGTATGATTTAACTTTTCCCGTCTGTCATTAATTTCTGTGTTATTTTTGTAGCTAATATTATTTTGAATGCTAATTTTAAAAAATTTAATATAATTAATTAATTAATTAAAATTTTATTTATTTAAAGTGGGGGTAATTAGGTTTATTTTATTTATTTTTAGAGGAGGTACCGAGGATTGAACCCAGGACTTCATGCATGTTAAGCATGCGCTCTACCACTTGAGCTATACCCTCCCTCTGAATGCTAATTCTTAATCCCCATTTTCAGTGTCACTTCTTTTTAAAGTCCTTTACTTGAGGAGTTCCTTCACTAGAAAAAAGAGAAAACTAATCTAGAAGACTATTGAAGTCATAGGCTGAGTCAAGGTAACAGCGGTCACCTTGATCCTTTATATATGCTATCTGGTATTCCCAGCAGGACTTTCATCTGATTAGTTATCAAAAGCACCCTTGTCAATAGTTTATTGGAAAATGCTGTAGAACTATCCCCAGATGAAGACACAGGCCCAGAGAATTCCTATGATTAATACTTTATAAATCAAGTTGTAGTTTTACCGGCAATCCTTAGAGTAGATAGTGAAGTGCGTTTAGAAGTGTGAAGTTAAACTATAAAAGTACTGTGTAAAGGATGACGTCCATATTTGGAGAAACCTCCTTAGAAAGACAGAATATTTCTTTTTGGTCCAGAGAAGACTAGATTGTACCCTAACTAATAATGTTGACATATCTAAAGAAATCAAAGTTTTGATAGAAAGAAAATGGTCCATGTGGGAAGGAAAAAATTTAATAGAAAAAGAATGATCAGTGTGTAAAGAGAGGCAGAATTCTCCAGCAGTGTCCAGGAGAAAGGATACCCTGACAAGAGGACCAGAGTGTTTTGTCAGTCCCCATGGTGATATTACAGAGATCTGACCACCAAAGATGGATATCACTGCTAGCTGTTCAGGTTATCCAGTTATATCCTTGAGCTTATTCCAAGCCTATCAAGTAATTCTCTGTGGTTATAATTATTCTCCTCAACATTAAGATAGTTCTTTACTACCTAATCCTTGGGATTATTATAATTATCTCTTCAAAGCCACCAAAATTCACTTTCTGGTTTATATATTAAGATGGAAAAAAAAATCAGATTTTCCAAAATATTATCAGAGTGATTGCCACTTAGTAGGAGAGACAGAGTGTATCTGCATCACCTAGGAGTATTTTCAAACTGCACAGCCTTTACTGTGTCTTTATCTGACTTTTTCTGTGAAGTCACTTTATTGTTTGGTTCAGACTGCCTTTAGCAATCTGATTCATCAATTTATAGATTAACATAAGTATTTTCTGACAGGTTGGCAGCCTGGGTGGATGGCTGAAGTGTGGCTATTCTCTGTCCCCTTTTCCCCTAATAACTCTGAGGGGAAATAGTTAAGAAAACTATACTTTTACCTTCTTTCCTGGGCACTTGATAAATGCCAGACACTAGGCCAAATTCTGGGAAATAGATGAAAAACATGGCCCTTACCTTTTAGGAACTCATTGTTAATGGAAGGACATGGACAAGGAATCACTGTTACTCTTTGGGAAGTGGGAAAAGACCTAATGGAGTAGGTTTAATAAATGAGAGTGTACTAGACAGAAAGGAGGTAAGAAGAACATCTGAAGCAAAGAAGAGAGCGTGTGCAAAGGCACAGAGGAGTGGTATGTTTGGAAAATGTCAGAAGTGAATTGGAAAAACTAATGGCAGATGTGACCAGAGAGAGAAGCTGGGGCCAGAGCACAAAAAGTCCTTTAGGATCTGATAAGGAGTTTTTACTTATCTTGTAGGTAAGGGGACACTGGTGAAGGTTTTTAAAATCCAGTTACAGTAGTCTCCTCTTATCTGAGGGAGATTTTGTCCAGGACGTCCAGTGGTTGCCTGAAATCTCAGGTAGCTCCAAACCCTATGTATACTATGTTTTTTCTTAAACATACGTACCCGTGATAAACTTTAGTTTAGAAATTAGGCATGGG